AATTACTCAAACGGAGTAAATTTTAACAACATTAATATTAATCTTTACGACATTCATCCAACAGATTTGCGCTGTCCGAATATCAAGCTGGACATATGGTGCACCACTATATAGTGAACCTGTATAGTGAATAGGAAGCCATTTGGCGTTTGATGTGAACCGCTGCTGTGATTCATTATTGTGAAGGTCACTGCTGCATTAATATTTTAATGTGAATCTTCCAAAAACCGTAAAAATTTTTTGTTATTTTTAAAGTGGAGATGGTAAGTGTGGGAAAAGAAGCGCGGATCTCAGTGCTCGCCGAGTTGAAGTGCTCTTGCATGCGAGAGTTTCCCTGCTCCTTACCAGTGTTCGCGATTATATCTTTGCGTGTAACGCTGTGCACGCTCAGGTTGTCTGCCATCATGCCGTGATATGTTTAAATGTTACTTGTGCCGTAGAAAGATTTTAGTTTACATTTTTCTAGACACTCAAAGCGCTTTACATATAACCGGGGGGGGGGGGGCAAGGATTTATCAAAGTAAATTCTACCGTTGCAGCATTATTTTTAAAAGCAGTGTGGTTTGGCATACTCACATGTCGTTGTGCAGCACCTTTGGGGGGAAGTGAGGCTTCCGGTGAGGCAGCTTCTCTTTGGCTGTGTGGGTGTTGTTGCTCCCTCCAGCGGAGGAGGAGGAGGAGGAGGAGGAAACCACGGGCATGGTGTTGGCAGGGCCGACTCCACCCGCTCCTCCGGTTCTGGCCCGGGAGGGGAGACCCGGGAGCGCAGCCGAGGACGAGTAGGACGACGCTGGCTTGTTAATGGAGCTGTGTCGTCTCTCTATGAAGGACAAAGTGTGAAGTGTTAACTTATAACCGAAGAAAATGAATAAGAGGCTGGTGAGGGAATGACTGTTTGCTATAACATAAGTGATTAAAAGGAATTCACCTTGTTTTGTCAAAACGTTCCACAACATTACACGTACCTACACTAACTGGATAACGCGTCACTGATTCTTATTCTATATTTCAGTCATTATCTAAAATCGTGTCATCTCACTAGTACTGGTTTCTAAGTGCCAGCTTATGGTCGCCTCTTAAAAAGCATACAAATAGGAACTTAAAATAGGGCCATTAAATTCACACCGCAAGGCACGAAACCAGAAAGATCCGCAGAGTGGATGATCTGAGCAGAAGAAGTGTGGAGAAAAAAAAAATGCCAGCGCTCATTAAAGTCACGGTGCGGTGTTTCTGCTTTTCAGAGCCTTTGGAAGAGACGATTGTTTTGCACATGGGGAAGAAGGCTAGATGTGTAAAAATCACTTGGTACAATAGGAAACCACAAGCGCTGAACAGGAGCTGGCTGGAGCAGTAAACACAGGCGGCATTATTTCACTGAATAAAATCGAAACAGAAACTGAACATGAAGCAAGAGAACAACAAGGAAGAGAACAAAACCGTGCTTAAAAGCTCAGCCTTTCCGAGTGTACAGAAATACAGGAACGGTTCGGTGTACAGGAGATATACATCATTATCATATCATTATACTATGCCACAACATAGAAACCACTGGCAGGTGAAGTGAATAACATCGATTATCTCATTACACTGGCACCTGTCATGGGGTGGGGTATATCAGGCTTATATTATATCAAGTTAATGTGCTGGAGGAAGGAAAAACAGGCAAGCTGTTGTAAGGATCTGAGCAACTTTGACAAGGGCTGGATTGTGATGGGTCAGAGCATCTGCGAAACGGTGCAGGAACGGTTTGAGGAGGTTGACAGAGAGTTCATGGTGTTATCTCGGCATCTAGATTCCCAGATCTCAATCCGATCGAGCGTCTGTGGGATGCCCTGGACAAACAAGTCCGATCCATAGAGGCCCCACCTCGTTACTTATAGGATTTAAAGGATCTGCTGCGAACGGCTCGGTGCCAGATACCTCCGCACACCTTCAGAGGTCTTGTGGAGTCTGTGCCTGCCTCGACAGGTCAGAGCTGTTTTTCCAGCATAAGAGAGACCTACACAATATCAGGCAGGTGGTTTTAATGTTATGGCTGATCAACGTAGAGTGAATAGGATGCATTTTGAGAATAGTAAAATGTATAAAATCACCCAGAAAAAGAGAATACTTCTGTGGGGAAAAATAAACAAACAAACAAATAAATAAATAAAGTTTTGCATGAAAATATGAACCATTTTAACCACCTCTGCGCTGAAAACTTATGAGCAGATCAATATTTGTATGCATTTAAAATGCTTCGTTTTCTAAATAATACTAAATTACACACAATCTGACAGAATTTACTGATAACACAATACACTTATAATTTTAAAAAATATGTTTTTTTTTCTCTCAATCAATTAACGATATTCCTAAAAATGAACTAAACTTGTATGGAAAAAGAAATACAAGTCGGGACAAAAGTGCGTCGACAGAGGAGATATTCCGATTAGGATTTCGGATGAAGCGGACGGAGGAATTCGGGAACGAGGTGTTGATGTGAACGAGGAGGAGCAGCGGCAGCTGGAGCAGTAGTCGTGTAGCAGAAGCTGGCGTGTGGTGTTAATGCTCAGCTCAACTCAAACACTGTGCAACCTCCAGCAGCTCTGGGCTTCCTGCCAAACACTCCTCGCTGCGGGAGAAAAACAGTGCGAGCGCACGCACACATACACACAACCCTGGTTCTCCCCAGCAATATTAGCTGCTCGGGCTGCACGCAAGCTGCACTGAGACTGAGAGACCAGGAAGAGAAGCTATGATTCATTTCAGCTAATGGAATAGGACAGGATCTTGCACCGGCCTCTCTCGGTTTCTCTCCCTCACACACACACACGACGGCTGTTAACATGACGCCTCTAATGCATGTCTTGTTGTGCAACTGGCACAGCTTCAAGACAGAGAAGAAAAAATAATACACGGCCCTGATTAGGTCGTAATATCCCATGACGCCGCTCAGATCTCCAAAGCAAAGTATTATGGGCCGGTTAAAGAGCAGCGCACTTCACACCGTGGAGACGATACGGCATGCTGCCAAACGACCACACGACACTCAGCGATGTCTCACCATCAACACCGCCAAACCGGTTTCACGCACATTAATATAGGACACCATTCGCTTCCATCCAAGTTCATTTTATTAACGAATTAGCTACTTAATCCGATACGTAATGAGTTCCTTAGTAGAGTTAGAGGATATGATGGTGTATCATCAGTACTGCGTAACATCAGGATCACGATCAGGGCGGTCACGAGGCTATTACATACTCACGTTAATAACTGCTGAATGTTCTGTATTAATAAATGTAGCCGGTGGGAATAATTAGGACACTTATATGATGAAAACGTACAGTATTTTATAAGATTGGCTCTCAAAACTTCGTCATCGGTGTTTTGTCGTGTTGCAAACTAGCCGCTATTCCTAAAACATCTCGCAGATCAGTGACGTCTGAAGGGTCAGCGTGGCTGCAGGGTTTCGTTCCGGCTAAATCAAAAAGTCACACCCGGTTCATCTGTGCATTTAATCGGCTCTCGGGCGTGGCTTGGTTAGAATGAAAACCTGCCATCATACCGGCTCTTTGCGGATAAGATTGGACTCCCTGATGAAGACGACAGACGATCCGGCCTGTTTTTGCCATTTTTGAAAGCATCTTTGATCACAGTGCTGTATATTTACTTTGTCTCATATTTTGCATTTTGCTTCCTACAGCAGATGAACGCCTGGAAGTGCAATCAAAGAGGAGAAACCTTGTGTACGAATGAATAAATAAATAATTAAAAAAAAAAAGTTTACTAAATGAATTGGAGAAATGCTCAGTGGAGCATCTCAACACCTTACCCCTGCTATGAACCCCATCATGTGCTGAAAGAACATGTATCTGCTGCAAAACTGGTGTTGGCACAGGCCAATAAATAAATCAGTGTTTGCTCAATCGTCAGGAGATCTGGAGAATAGTCAGCAGCACGTAGTTGGGAGTTCACGGATCACAGAGAGCATAATTGGACTAAGCCATGGACAGCGTAACTGTGGGTAGAGCTACATCTATTGGGTGGGAACTGTCCAAATTGGGAGAAAATGTGGAGGGGGAAAAAGAAGAAAAAAAAACAACCACTCCTGAACAAATCAAAACAAAACAAAGGAAGGCTTTTAAATAATAAAGGCAGAACCACCATTATATCTGTAGAACCATTACTGCAATTTTTACATCCTACGATAGAGATATCACACTCTAGTGATCTTAAATGCCATGAAGACCTAAAACAGACAAATCGACAAACAGAGAAGCGTCTTAACTCGGTGAGAAGTGTGTTAGAGGCCGTGTTCTGGCTGCGCTGCCGGATCCGCGCTTGCACAGCAGTCGTAGATCAGCAGTTCCTCACAGGAGAACTTGCACTTGGCACGCGTTTGCGATTCTGTACTCTGTCTGAGCACTACAGTTTCCTGAACTGCGCAATTAATCTGTGCGATGCCATTAATCATTCAACGGTGGAGAAAAAAAACCCCAAAACAAACCACAATAGCGTGTTCTGGAGAGACAGCGAGACATACGGCAGCAGACTGGCCTGGAGAATACCGTAGATAAGCATCTGAGCTCGTCATTGGATTGCTACGGGTTCAAATCCCGGGATGGGGAGACACCGAAAAAGACTTCATGTGTTCTGACAGCTTACTCTGGATCGAAATCAAACAAATCAAACTTAAAAGTAAGGGTAGAGAAGGGAATGTTTCTGACTGAAAACTGATGTGGCATCTACTTCAGATTTTTTTTTCGGTTTGTTTTTCTTATTTTTGAACGAGGAGATCACGTTTTAATCCATGTTAACCACCACATTTTCACCCTGGAACACAAAGCAACAAAAAGAAAAAATATATATACATTTAAAAAAATAAATAATAACAAAGCCCCTTCAATATCTCACGAAACATATCGTTCCACAGGATCTCCAAATCCACAAAACACATTTAGATGTATGGATGAGCATACGACACTCGGGGACATGCTACAATGGTGGACGGGCTT